TTTACTAGATCCTGGATGAGGCCCAAGGATTTGCACTTGTAACAAGTTCCCGGGTGCTGCTGATGCTGCTGTTTCAGGGTCTACACTTCGAGACCATTGGCGTAGACAAGCATGTTGGTTCTAACCCTGGTTGCACACTAGAATCATCTGAGATGAGTTTTTAAAATATCATCAATGCTGGGGCCTCACCCCCAGAGATTCTGATTTAATAGATCTTCAGTGGAACCCAGACATGGATAGTTTTTAAAGCCCCTCCAGGAGTTTCTAACGTGCAGTCAGGGATGAGAACCACTGGGGCTGAGGTGTCTGGAGAATTAGGGAAGGAGTGTGGGCGGGGCAGTCACACTCCTGGGTCATCAAATTCAACCACATTTGTCTGAGTGTCCTTTCCCAGAGACAGGTGAATGCAATGCACTAAATGATCTTTCTAATGCCCTTTTCCCGACTCAGAATCCTTGCTGTGCCTAGGATGCTTCGAAACGCATGCCCATGATCCCCACGAAAAACAATAGTATCTAGAGTTCAGTGACTTTTTTCTTTTAACAATGCTGCCCTCTAGTGTCCTCACATATTGGAATCATGTGAAAACCCACCTCAGCCATCAATATAGTTATTGAAGGAATTTTTCTCTGACATTAAAAAAACTAATTTAATATGAATTAAATTTTAATTTGTGGCAACATGAATCTCCATCTGTGGCCTCTCAGTTCTCCTGCAGTTTCTCCCTGTGTTTGGGGTTGCAGCCTCCTCCGAGGACAGGAACTCCTGGAGTTCTCCTTTCCCTATTCCGCCAAGTCCTTGTCTCCAGAGTCAAAGGCCAAACAAATCAGTTTGGCAACTGATTTGTTTACCAGCAACTAGAGGACCTGGGGCACTGGCGTGTCTTGCAGAGGCTCTCCTCACTTCTCACACCCAGTTCTTTGTCACTTGAGTCATAGTTTATTGAGGCTAGAGTCCATCAAACCTGAGCTCCCGTGTCCTTCCATGATGAGTTCTACAAACCTATCTGGTCCCACCATCTCGATGGAAGTGTCCTCCTGCCCCAGGTGTCTCCTCACCCTATCTCAGTTTACCAAGTCTCTCTCCCTCTTCCTTCCCAACCTCCTAGTCTGTATCATCAATTACTCTCTTTCTAGATCATTCCCAATAACATTACCCTTACATCTGCCATCTGTAAATTAAAACTCTCCTTTGGTCCTGAATCCCCTTCAGCCACTGTCCTATTTCTCTGCTCCATTCACTTCCAAACTTGTTGAAAGAGTCACCTACCCAGGTTGTCTCTAAAGCACCCCCTCCACCTCCCAATCCTCCACTGGCTCCAGCCTGGCCTTGGTTCCATCACACCACCGACACTGAAACCGCTCTTCTCAGGGTCTGCAGTGCCCTCCCTACATGTGGCCAGATCCAGAGGAGACCATTTCGTGCCCCGCTGGCATGAATGTTCACAGTGTCCACCCGGCGGGCGCAGCTCCTTCTTGAAGCACCCTCTGCTCTTGGTTCCGACACATCCCTCCCCACTGGCTTCCTGCCACTGGCCACCCAGCACCCTGAACGGGGTCCCCTCTCCAATCCTGTGCTAGCAATTAGAACCTTTTCTCGTTTCTCTCTATAGACTTTTCTTACATAGGCTCATCCATTTTCATGAATTTAAATATAATCAACAGACTGGTAATTAATAAATACACCACCTCCAGCCCAGATCACTCACTGTGTCATTTATCCAACTACATCAACTCAACATCTCCCCTTTAGTAACCCACATGCATCTCCATTTTTTGCATGTCCAAAGAAGAACCCTTGATTTTCCTTCCCTCGAAAATATCTTCCCTCGTCTCTGTAAATGGCCAGGTATGTGGGAGACGGCCTTGACTCCTCCCTTTCCCTTACTTGCCATGCTCAGTTCATCTGGAAGTACTGTGTATTCTACCTCCAAAATATATTATATATTTTGTATCTGTCCATGTCTTTCTATCTTTGCTACCACCACCGCATTCCAGCTCACTCTGGTCTCCTGCTTGGAATACTGCAATACCTTCCTAAAGACCTTTCCGCTCCCCCAGTCCTCCCCTTCACTGCTGATTCTCCACAGCACAGTCAGAGAGAGTGTTCTGAAATGTAAATGATATCCTATCATTCCCTTACCTAAAAAAAGTTAATGACCTCATTAAACTTTTTTTTTTATTTTCTCTTAGCTATCAGTCTTACTGGAGACCCATTAAACTTTGAATAACACACAAATAATGTGGTTTACCCTCTGCCAACTTCATTTTGTACCCCTGTCCTCCTTCCTTACTAGGCTCCCGCCACAATGGCTTCCAACCAATTGCTGGAACTCACTAAGCTCTATCCTGCCTCAAGGCTTTTGCACATGCTGTGCCATTTGTGTATAAAGCTCTTCTGATGTTCTTCACATGGCTGGCTCTTTTTTTTTTTTTAATGCTTAAATATTACTCCTCAGTGAGACTTTCCTTGCTCTAACTAAATAGGTCTTCCCTTTCACTTTCTTTCTTTTTTTTTTTTTTTTTTGAGACAGAGTCTCACTTTGTTGCCCGGGCTAGAGTGAGTGCCATAGCGTCATCCTAGCTCATAGCAACCTCACACTCCTGGGCTCAAGCTATCCTTCTGTCTCAGCCTCCCGAGTAGCTGGGACTACAGGCATGCACCACCATGCCCGGCTAATTTTTTCTCTAAATATATTTTTTTAGTTGTCCAGATCATTTCTTTCTATTTTTTAGTAGAGATGGGATCTCGCTCTTGCTAAGGCTAGTCTCGAACTCCTGACCTTGAGCGATCCGCCCGCCTCGGCCTCCTAAAGTGCTAGGATTGCAGGTGTGAGCCACCACACCCAGCCCCCTTTCACTTTCTATCTCAGCTTCCTACTTGTTTTCTTTGTAACACTTCACATTTTGTAATTATTCACTCGTTTACTTCTCCATCATCCCCACTCAATTCTAAACTCCCTGAGTCTAGGAACTTTGTGTCTGCTTTCCTCACTGACGAACCCAGCAAGTGGCACGGTGCCTGGCAAATATTAAGCTTCTAATACATGTGTGGTGAATAAGCGAAAGCATGTACAGGAGGAGGTACAACCTCCATCTGCCTGAATTACCCTTGTTAAGTCCTTAAGGGACTCCACATGGCCAACCCACCGGAAAGTATTCTGTGCTCATCTTACTTGATTGCAGAGACAGAGATAAGGTCCAGGCTCAGTTTATTCTCTGTTCACCTCTTCAGTGTTTACTGACATGCGTGATTCACCCCAGTATCTCCAGCACCCAGAACAGCAGACACCTAGGAAACACAGCTGATCAGATGGCCTCCCAGGTCAGAAAGAAAAGGCGTGAAGAGAAAGGAAGTGGTGAATGGTGGGATGTCCAAGTAGAGAAGGCATCTGGGGCAGAGATTCAGAGAATTGTCTTCAACTTCCAGAAAGGTTTATCAAAGGCACTCATCTCCATTTGCATAACAAAAGAGAAGAAAAACAGTTTCTTGTAACTTTTTGAAAATCACATTCGTTTTATAGAAAGAGAACAAACTTCATAGTTTTAGTTGCTGAGTAATAATTTGACATTTGGGAGTCTTTCTCCAAGAAAGAAAAATATTTGCTTATAAACCAAATTGTACCTCTATTGAACAGACAATGGTGAATGAAAGCATCCCATCTTCCCAGCTGTCCCTAACCTTTTTGGCACCAGAGACCAGTCTCATGAAAGACAATTTTTCCATGAATGGGGGTGGGGGCGAGGAGGGGGTATCTGGAGGGGCTTTGAGGGTAATTCAGATGGTGATGTGCAGCCCTGTTTTCCTAACAGGCCACAGACCATACTGGGCTGCAGCCCAGGGGTTGGGAACAGCAGTTCTAAACAGAAATCAAGGGCAATTTAAAATAGCTTGTGTAAGCCAAACAAGAAAAGAAGCTAAGACCCTAACCCTGGCCATCTCATTCCAAATCCTGTCCCCTATCAATTTAGACAGTGCCTGTTCATGATAAATAAAAATAAGAATACATCGACCTCAACTCTACTTTGAGAAAAGTTTTGGTCCTTCTGAAGGACGCTTAATGGACAGCTTCTCCTGGGACACAGAGAATCCCGAGGCCTGTGACACCTTGAAAATGTTAGATGACCTGACATTCTGGGTGCTCAGCTGACCTGCTCTGTAGCAGAAATCCAGCCCCGTCTGTGAATTTTCACTAAATTGAACTTGAGGCTCTCCTTGCTGTCCGGTTGTGCATAACATTTGGCTGGTGCCAAGATTTGCTCGCCTCCACTCCCTGGGAAGGGAGTTCAGTTTCCTGTTTAGGAAATGTGATGTCAAGCTGCAAGCGGCTGATGAGCACACTGGGTGGGACCCTGAGCAGGCCCAGGGAAATCAATTACGTGGTTGTCTTAGGACAAAATTTTGTTCAACGTGATCAAGGACAGGGTGTGTCATTGCAGGCTGTGAGCCACTGTGGTTTCAGCTGTTTGTTCAGCGTTTAATATGTTTGTCTTTCTGCTAAACACATTGTTATTGAGTCACCTCTATTTAACAGCCACTCTGTGTGAGGGCCAGCTCTGCAAATTCAACATGCAAAGACAGGCCTTCCGCCCTCAATGACCTTACATTCTACAAAATCCAAGCAAATGCTTTCTCTTCCTTCTCACTTTAATGAGCCACATGCCCAAGTTCTGAAAGAGGTTAATCATGTATTCTTGATAAGGCCAGGAACCAACAAGTGATAAAGTAAAAGAAGAACTTAAAGTCATTATGGTTTTAATATCATTTAATATTGTTGATGCAAATTGAAAATGGAATGTCAGTTTACTCAAAAGTACCACCAGCCTCCAAACCATCAATATTTCATGTCAGACTAGTATGTTGTCACCAATGTCAAAGTCATTATGTTAATCAAAAAAATAATTGCATTAAACTTCTAAGCTTTGGGGAGAGGGGGAAAAAACATATAATTTTGAAAAGTAGAGAAACTCACAAAATGCTGTCTGTTTGGCCTTCCATAGAAATTGTTCGAGCCATGACACATGTGATAAACCAAGGCATGGCAATGTACTGGGGCACGTCAAGGTGGAGCGCTATGGAGATCATGGTAATTTAATTTCTATTTAAAATGACTATTAAGCACCTTGTTACTGTTTTTCAGATGTCATGAACAAATTGCAAAATCTTTTGCAAACCTCTCTCACAATCGCTGTGACACTGGAATTCTATGATCAATTCGTCATTGTAGAGATGGATATTGGAGCAGGAGCTCATCAGTTCAGACTACAACAGGGAGTGTGTAGGTCCCTAACAGGAATAATGTTTTAGCATGTTCTTTGATGGCAAGAGGGTAAAGTGAATTTTACAGCTAATGAGATTTATGAACAGAGGACTCTAGTTTTCTTATTAAAAAATTGTATTAACTAATAACTATACTGTTTATAACATGATAATTACAGATCACTTTTACATGTTAGCCTAAGTCTTATTTCTTTAGGAAACTAAAAATAGTCAAACCACATTTTCTTTATCATAGTCCATAATTCATACTTTGACTAATTGGCTCTAGACTTTACTCAGTCCGAATCCTCCCAAAGAATAATAAGTATTTCCCATATTTGGTATTGCTGTTAGTAAAATTGGTGGTCACAACTTTGCTTATTATTTCGCATCCTACATGTTTCCTGGTTTGTACTGGTTTCACTAAAGGGGATATTTTGCATGCATACAAATCACAGTGATGCCTATTTCCGATCAGTATACATTCAGTTGCAATCTCATTTCTCCCTAGGAAGCCTATTCTGTAGCAAGACAGTTCAATATGATCCCACCAGTCTGTGAACAAGCTGAGTACCATCTTTTCCAGAGAGAGAAGGTGGAGGTACAGCTGCCAGAGCTCTACCATAAAATAGGTAATCTTCAAACTCAAATTTACTGAGTATTTTTAACAATAAGAGAATCATTGATTCTAAAAAAAAGTGTTACTGAAATGCTTTCCTAAATGTCCATAATTAACACAGGGATTATAAGAACTCAGAATTCCAGAGACTGGAGCAGAATCAAATGTATATGTATTTAGCCTGCAGAGATCACTGATGAAAGCCAAGAAAACTTGTAAATTGTGACTAGTATATAAGCTACACTCAGCAGGTGTTCAAAAAATGCATGCAAGGCCGGGCGTGGTGGCTCACGCCTGTAATCCTAGCACTCTGGGAGGCCGAGGCGGGCGGATTGTTTGAGCTCAGGAGTTCAAGACCAGCCTGAGCAAGAGCGATACCCCGTCTCTACCAAAATTAGAAAGAAATTAATTGGGCAGCTAAAAATATATAGAAAAAATTAGCTGGGCATGGTGGCGCATGCCTGTAGTCCCAGCTACTCGGAAGGCTGAGGCAGTAGGATTGCTTGAGCCCAGGAATCTGAGGTTGCTGTGAGCTAGGCTGACGCCACGGCACTCACTCTAGCCAAGGCAACAAAGTGAGACTCTGTCTCAAAAAAAAAATGCATGCAAAATGAAGGGAAGAATCAAGGAATAAACTAATTTTTCATGTATCTTTGAGTGGACTATGACAGCCTTTTCAAAAAATCATGGATATATACATCTATATCTGCTAGTCTGGGCCTGGCACTGAGTTAGAGATGGGAAATTCAACAATAACTAACAAACAGGGCATTACATGTTTTGTGTAGGTAAAACTAATGCTTTCAGAGAGAAAAAAATATATATACAACATGTACATTAGAAATTTGGGTGGTAGAAAAACATGAATAAGCCACATTTTCAGGTTTATTTATCAAAAGTTTCCAGCGATAATTTTCTTCCTGTGAAATAGAGGTTCACAGGAGTAAGAAAATGCTGGGTAAGGGGGGAAAAGATAAAAATTCACCAATAATAATAATTGTTATTATTGCTACCACTCATTGTTTATTATGTACTAGGCATGTGCTCTTGCCATGTGCCACACGCTGCATTAGGAAACGAATAGATAAGCAAAGCACTGGATTTTTGTGCAAGTAGAGGAGCATAAAAAAAAAAAACCATGAATTTTGGATATCAAAAAATCATGGATAAGCAACATTTTTCAGGCTTGTTTATGTGGCCCACTCCCATGAACTGACAGTGCATATTTAACTGGTTAATAAAAGAATGAAACACAATTTGTAAGTCCCTAAATTGTAATGGAAAGATGTATGCTGGTATTAACTCATTTAACTGGCCAGTTTATCCCTATAAATAACCAAATTCCATTTAAACACCACCACTGCTCTCACACTTTTGATCCCAATTCGCACAAGCAACTTTCAAGATATTCTCTCCTGCAGGGGTTGGCGCAATGACATGGTCTCCACTTGCCTGTGGAATCATCTCAGGAAAATATGGAAACGGGGTGCCTGAAAGTTCCAGGGCTTCACTGAAGGTATTTTCCTCAACCTCTAGAAAAATGTCTGGGGGTGGGAGGAAGGGAAGAAGATTGATTAGAACAGCTCGGCAGCAGGCTGGGGCTTCCCGGCTCAGGCAGACAGTCCCTTGGACGGGCCAGCAGCCTCTGGCAGGCTCCCCTGAGCCTTCTGGAGGTCTCTGTTCCTAGCCACGCACCAGTCAGCCCTTCATAATCTGCCTGTGTAGAAAATTGTCTTCCTCCGGGGACTGGGGGAAAAGTGCCCAATGACTTGGTTGGACTTACAGGGCTCAACTCTCTACACTGTCACTTATTCTTATATTAAAGAAAGAATTCCATCTTTTGTTTGAAACTGACAAAATGTAAAATCCTTTTCTGTATAAGAGAATCTTCCTTTTCTTGACAAAACAAAATTTAAGCCATATAATCCATATGAGGCAAACAGTTGTAGTTGAGCATGGCTTGAGGTTGATTGACACTTTTTCTTGTGTTGGGGCGGGCACGGGTGAGGAGGGAGGGCCTCAGGAGACACGTACACAGATACACAGCAAAGCCTCTATCACTGGGGCTCTATGAGTGGCGGTTGTAGAGATCAACTCTGGCCTATGTTTTGTAGTTTAAATTCTGGTCTGAAGCATAAAGATATTCAAGACATCCACAAAGTTACCTCCGTTCAGGACATCTTGATGACTAATTTATTGGAGAGTACTCCAAACATCTCTCCTTACTAATAACAACATGCCTGTTTTTAAAAACTTGAGAGAATGTGTAATAACATTAGAACTACAAATTACTCTGTAATGTCAAGGGAGAGAGAATACAGGCATTTTAAAAAATTGAGACAAGCCAAAGTCCTCTTAAGAGGAAGCTTAAGTCTGACACAACCTTTTGTCTCCATCAGCACTAAGTTATCAGGAAAACAGCTTAAGTCAAGTCCGAGCCACCAACACTTTAATCAGTGTGGCTGTGACCACCGTGGGCTTCCCTACTCAGAATCTTCTCAAGGATTTAGGGCCTTCACTTTGCTTTTTGCCTGTAATAGTTGAGCTGTTAGCTTGTTTGTTCTCTAGAATAATCAACATAAATATCCCCTAAAGCATGTTGACATGATCCTATGTCTGGTTTTGTATTATCACAAAAAAACAATTATCCCAGAATATTAAATAAGGTCTTGCTCCTGAAAACTGTTCAACCAAGTCTAAACAAGTCAGCAAAAACAAACTAAAAGCATCTTAAGGTAAGAAGATATAAAAAAAGGGAGTGAAGAAGGAAGAGATGGAGAAAGGGAAGCATTGAGAATTGCAATTTTACTGGGCACCCACTATGAGCCAAGCACTGGGCTGTTTTCATTTATCTCATTTTTGTTTAATCCTCACAAAGAGAAATGGATACAAGTGGCTTTTAGTCAGTTGTAGCTAAGCATATTGCCATACATTCTTTCAGAGACTTGCTGAAAAATGCAGCGCACTTCCATATATGACGGGTGTTTGTTCTCACACTAACCTCATAAGAGGGTAGAACTTTTCCAGATGCAAAAACTAAAGCATAAAGATGTTAAATAATAATCTGAAACTATAAAGTCATAAAAGATAAAGTTGGTATTAGCACACAGGTCTCCTGGCTCTCAGTTAATTATCTCTCCCAAAAACATACATGTTTCCCTTCAAACCCAGGTTTTCAAAGGAGAAAGAAGTAGCTATGCTATAGTTGGAGTGTATGATTGTCTAACCTCGATCACTGGAAAAAGCTTGCAAACAGCTGAAAAAAGTTTTCACAAATCCACTAGCAAAAGGAGTGAGAGAGAGAAGGGGGGGGAGAGAGAGAGAGAGAGAGAGACACACACACACACACACACACACACAAATTGAAGGTGGCTCAGCCCAAAAGCAGAAAAGCAGCATGGGAAATATTTCCATTGTTTGTTTTTATAAAGACAACTCAGTATCTCCTGGAACATCCTTAACAATAAACATTAAGAACTCTCAACAGGCTGGGCACGGTGGCTCACGCCTGTAATCCTAGCATTCTGGGAGGCCGAGGCGGGTGGATCACTCAAGGTCAGGAGTTCGAGACCAGCCTGAGCAAGAGCAAGACCCCGTCTCTACTAAAAAGTAGAAAGAAATTATCGGACAACTAAAAATATATATATAGAAAAAAATTAGCTGGGCATGGTGGCGCATGCCTGTAGTCCCAGCTACTCGGGAGGCTGAGGCAGTAGGATTGCTTGAGCCCAGGAGTCTGAGGTTGCTGTGAGCTAGGCTGATGCCACGGCACTCTAGCCAGGGCAACAGAGCCAGACTCTGTCTCAAAAAAAAAAAGAGTTCTCAACAAATGAAAGAGCTCTCAACTGATCACAAGGCATGTTTCTTTAGGGTTCTGCAGACTCTCAAGGCTCTAAATTATCCACCTGAGTATTTTTGGAGAACTATATATGCACCCAGGAAAGCCACTTAAGTAGAGTTAGCAGAGCAAAAAAATAAATAAATAAATAAAGGAGGCAAATATCAAGGCGACCTTGGAAGTGAATGAGGATGCTATTAAAAATAATAATAAAAAAAGGTAGGTAGCTGGGCAAGCAGATAAATGAGTTGGCAATGTTCACCTTTCCTTAAAATAAAATATGGTTTGTGTTTTGCATTGGCTGTTGTTATACCAATAACATTAAGATGTTGATATTTTGTGCTTATTGTAAGTATTGTATTGCAATTGATGGATAAATTAACTCAGTATGAAAAATACTTATCCAGGGCTCTTTTAGGAAGTAATATTACCCCAGAAATTTTCTAGGCCTCCATATCTGGCCTCACCACTCTAACGATGACTTATAAATTTGTATCATCAGCTCTGACTTCACTGCTGAGCAGCACACCACTACTTCTTCTTGTCTATTAGACATCCCCAAGCAGATGTTCCATAGGCATCCGTTATAATAATGGAATCTATCCTCACCCCCAGAACCTGCCCTTCCTTCTTGGTTAACAGTGCCTCCACCCATCCATCTGGTCATCTCAGTCAGAAGCCAAGGCATTTTCTCCCACTGCCTCCTTTCCTTCCTCTCCTGTACCAGGCACCAAATCCTCTAGACCACATCCTGACTCTAAGAGCCATCCCCTCAGAGCCATTTTTTAGATCTTCATCATTTCTTACCATGTTTACTTCAGTAGCCTCCTATCTGGACTCTCTGATTTCCTTCCCTTTTCTTAATAACCCCCATTGCGAACAAATTATCTTTATAAAATATTAATCTGACCATATCATAACCCTGCTTAAAATCCTTTAGTGACTTCCCAATCATTGCATATAGGACAAAGCCCAAACTCCACAACAAAGCATTCAAGGAAATCCCCTTGGGATTGAAGCTGTGCCAACTTTTCCATTCTTGTCTTTCCCCATATCATACTACTTCGTTTTCTACCCAGATGCGCTGTACTCTCCTTTGCCTCCCAGAAACGTCCTTCTTTTCATCTTCCTGTGGAACCCCTTCTCATCTCTAAAGACAAAGCTTGGTTGTCTTCACCTCTGTGAAGACTGCCCTAATTTTATAAAACTGAGTTTTGGCAGCTTCTTTATTGTTCCATAAAGATTTTTTATAGAGTCTTAGAATTCTCTGGTTACAAGTAACAGAACTCAATGAAACTAATCTAATCAAAGGGGGACTCTATTGGTTCAGATAGACAATCCTTGGGGAGGATGGAGTGGGGCTGGCCTCTGCAGAGACTCCATCTTTGGACTTGAACACTATCAGGACCGTCCATCTCCTCTATTTCTCTTTGCATGTGGGCATCACTTTCTTCTACTAAAACGAGTCTTCTCGGCCGGGCATGGTGGCTCACACCTGTAATCCTAGCACTCTGGGAGGCCAAGGCAGGAGGATCGCTCAAGGTCAGGAGTTCAAGACCAGCCTTAGCAAGATTGAGAACTCATCTCTACCAAAAATAGAAAGAAATTAGCTGGACAACTAAAAATATATAGAAAAAAATAGCTGGGCATGGTGGCACCTGCCTGTAGTCCCAGCTAATCGGGAGACTGAGGCAGAAGAATTGCTTGAGCCCCAGAGTTTGAGGTTGCTATGAGTTAGCCTGACACCACAGCACTCTAGCCCAGGCAACAGAGCAAGACTCTGTCTCGAAAAAATAATAAATAAATAAATAAAAACAAAATTTACATTTAAAAAAAAAAACGAGTCTTCTCCATGAGACCAGAAGCAGGAAAACTGGTAGTTGCAAGCTTACATTCTTAAAGGCATGTAACCTGAGAGAAAAGAGATCTTTTCTTTACCAGTTTCAATCCAGAAAAGACTGGCCAACTTTGGGTCGTGCACTGACCCATAAGACCAATGACAGTGGCCAAAAGTTTGAGGTACTATGCTCTGCTCAGGCCATGCACCACTTGGTCTGGGTATTTTCCATGACATGGCAGTACAAACATGGCTTGTGATGAAATCATTGAAGGAGGAGGCACCCCAACTACAAAACATTTCTCCAGTTACTACATAGTGATTGGTGAATACCTCCAAGACAGAAACTGAAACTTTCTCATCTAACTCATCACAGAGCCTGAAACAAAATAGGTACTCAGTAAATGTTAGTTGAATGAATTCAATGAGCCATAACAAAAGATTAGTGAAATCTGATTGATAGACCAAGTGTGTAGTTTTTAATCAGAAATTTTAAGTAGAAATGAATAGTGCAATTAAATGTAGTGACAGCTCTTCCCTGTTGTTAGCAAAATGCTTTTTAAAAAATTATAAAAATATGTACCCCTCTGTCAAAGGAAAATAAGAAGCATCCACACCTTGGTGAACCAAAGTTGGGGGAGAGGGGTGACCTAACTACTCCCAGTGTTCACATTAAGAAAATAAGGATGTTGGATGGTTCTGGACAAGATGGCTGACTAGAGACACTAACTGCCAGAGTGTCTCAGTAAGAAGGAGAAGTTTTAGATGAAAGAGAAAAAAAAAAAAACAGTCAAACATAGATTGGATGTGGGTCTGAAGGAATGGTGCTAGAGCCTTTGGG